GTACCTGCACATCTAAACAGCCCTTCCCAATCTTCTCACTCATCTGCCTCCTGTGTCCAATATTGCATTTCAATGTATTTAATACTTCCTTCCCAGCTCTTTAACTCACTTAACTGAAAAGAAATTGAATCTGAGTACCTCCCCCTCAAGACACTTTCTATTCCCAGAGTATTTGTGGGGGTTTTAAATTTACTATCGTCCTTGTGGCTCAGCCTGCCAAGCTGTAGGTAATCACTGACGCCCGTTTCCTACCAGGGCTGTGCTCAAATCAGGTCACTTCTCATACCACGTGTCTAAACACAAATTTCTCAGCCAGCTCTTCATCTTACTACCCTGGTTTCCTCAAAACAAATGCAATCCCCACCCCCCCTCCCAACAACACATGGCTAGCACTACTATTACCCTGATGACACCCATAACTTGACTGTTACCATGAAAATGCCCAATCCATACTGCACTGACTATGGAAGTGCCTCTATCCCAGGTGATTTACAACTTGACACAGGTAAAGTAAGAAGAGGAAACAGAACAGATAAAATTCATTTGGTTTCACATACGGTTGCTACTTAGATGAAAGCCTTAAAACAACTAATGTGTTACTATTTGCCCGACAATGACCACAGTAAGCTAACCGAATGTCTGGATATATCACCATATTGCTGCACAGAAAAAATGACATACAAATTCTTAAGATGAGAAGTCCATCACATGTAGTCCCCCTCAATCTAAATTTAAACTGGTGTTCAAAAGAGAGGTTCTTACTTTTTATTTTTTATCCACAGAAAGCCTGGAAATCTCTTCTTCAGATTTTGTGGGTGGTAGAAAAAAATTACTGTTTTGTTGACAACTGTATGGTAGGATGATTAGTCACACTCTTCAAATGACTCACTTAGAAAAACAGTAAGAAGTGTGAAGTGTTCGGTTGTCCCATCTGTTTAACATAACTGCATGGATGTCAACTACTACCCATATTTATCAAATGCCATCAAAAGTAAGTACTTTGGCACTTAAAATGTTTCAGAGTAGTGAAAGTCGAAAGTTATTAACTGCATCAATATGAACTACTTTGGCATGTAAAATATTTCAGAGTATTGTAAAGTTGAAGGGTATTAACTACTAAGATGTAAAAAACTGAAATCGAAATCCAGTTATGACTCAGGATTACCCTCCCTTTGCAAAGAAACAGGTGCCACATGTCAACAGTTTATCTACGTTTTCTAGAATTTTCAAACCAAGACTAACTCCTTGAGTTCTTAATTCATAGTTACTTTGGCCCATTCTTGCAGATTTACCTTCAGTTTTATCCAAGCAATATATAACTTAAGCTTTTAGGTTTTGGCCTTGTTCCATGAATTACTACCCCCAATTCAATTAGGTACTCATTTCCTGAAACACTACCACCCGATTGCAAGCAAAACGACTACGGGGTTTAGATGAGGAAGCCTCCCCAAGCGACAGGGCTATTTAGCATTTCTGTCACATTGCAGCCTCCAGGCGAGATGATCTCACCGAATTTGAAGG